TTTTGAGCTCCTATTGTGTGCAAAACATGGTGCTAGGTGCCATGTGGGACAAATTATTGTAAGAAGTTTCCCACAAGGATTGTATAGACTAGTGACAGAAATGCCTGAGGATAAAGTTAACCACGGGACAGAGGCTAGTGAAGTGAGCTATCCACAGCCCTTCAACAAATCCGATACTGAAATCATCATTCTCGTTTTGACCTGGTTTTCTTTTTGAAATGACCATCTCAGTTCAAAGCACCATTATCTATCTAGCCCATCCTCACTGTGGGAAACCTGGACACCAATTTAGGTGTTCACCCCCCCAGGACCTGCCAGTTATCATCTTATCTAGCTTACTCATGCAGAGTTTTTAAGACTGTTAATGCAGTCTTACAATCTAACTCTTTTGGCTGTTCTTAATCTCCTCAAGTACATTGTACAGACTCCAGCCAGGTCAATGTATTTGAAATAATGGTCTGTCAGCATCACTCACCTGCTTACCCTTTATACCTCTTAATTGTACAAAGGATAAACCTCATATTTTAATGTCCCCCTGCTCACACATTATACTAGTTACTGAATACTCCATAAGGACTTTTGCCTTTCCTAAGGCTATCCCTGTCCCCCTAGAGTAGGCTTCAATGTCATCCTCTCTTGGCTGACTCCTACATATCCTTCAATACTCAATGGATACCTTCATCCTCAATGGGAATGCTGCTCCCACTGATATGTATATCACCCTGGATACCTGTACTATGTACTGTGTTTATGGAAGTTTCTACCACTATATGTGTGCTCCTCAAAGGCAGGCACTAGGTCTAGTGTATCATTGGTCTTTAATGTAGTGCCTGGAATATAGTAGATAATAAAAATTTTTTGAATAGATTGAACTGTTCATTGAAGCAAAAGGAGTATAAAAAAAGTATAGGAAAGTATCATGGAACAGAATAATTGAGATGATCAAAAAAGACTACATGTAAAATTTAGTAATTGAGTTGAACCTAAAAAAAGGGCCCATATCTAAAAAGTGGAAGACACAAAATGCAAAATATGGTTTTCCCATGAGTACCATTCCTAGCCGTTATTGTATTACATAGAAAATAAGGGACCCATTATGTCATCTTATTAATTTTTGATGAGTAAATATGAGAGTAGATCATGTGGGACCTTGAACACCATGATTAAGAATTTGTTGTTAATTCCATTGATAATAGGTATTCCCATTGTGAAGGATTTTAGAACAAAGAAAGGTCATAATTAGACCTCAAGTTTACTAGAGAGTAAACACCTTGAGGATTGGAGTTTTGTGTTTGTTTCTTGCTATTTTATTCTCAAAATAAGGGTAATTTGTGTAAAGGTAGGGACTCATTATACAATTGAAAACAAAAGATATATTTTAGAACCGTGTTGTCCAATAGATCTTTCTGAGGTGATGGAAATGTTCTATATGTTTGCTGTAGAATGCTGTAGTCACTGGACACATGAAGCTATTGCTCACTTTAAGTTAAGGAACTGAGGAATTGAATTTTTAATGATACTTAATTTTAATTAACTAAAATTTAAATTTAAATAGCCACATGTGACTTAGTGGCTACCATTTTGGACAACATAGTGTAGAATGTTCTCCTTAACAGAGTCCCAACAGGAAACAGATGGAACACTCAAATTAGAATAATTCAAAGAGAGTTTATTTATAAAGAGACTCTCTCTAACAGCGTGAGCTGCTTTAAGGGAACCACACAAGAGAACTCATGCAATTAACTGTGGTAGTGACATGAGAGCAATGGTGAGGCAGAATTGATGGCAAGACTCATAGTTAAGATTATAAACCTGGATCACATTGGGATATTGTTTGTAATATACAATGATAATTTCAAAGAAATTTCATTGAATAAAGTTCATGCTAAAAACTGTTCAATAAAATCTTTCCTGGCAGTTTATTTACTGATGAAGAAGCTGATTGCTTTCCCTAGATAGTGTTGATCCATGCCATGTTTTCTTATTGTTTTTCCACTGGCTTTCCACTGTAAGTGATACCTTTTCCATTAGCAGGCTGTGCTGACTTAATGATGGCTCCTGTCAAGGCTTCCTTTAAGGAGCATCCTCTCTTCTGAGCCTCTGAGATGTAGGGAGGCTCTGACTGTTATTTGTGTTGTGTTTTAATATCCTGCCCTTTCCATCCCTCCCTTACCTCAGCACACACCATTCACCCTCAGTCCTAGCTCATTGCTTGATGATTTGTTGAGCCTTTGAAAACAGAAGGAATGAGGGCTTTTAAGCAGGATGGGGCTATGTCTTTTTGCTTTATTTATTTTTATGCCATGCAAAAGAAGTAAAGAGACATAAAATGGCTTGAATGAAGCCAAATAAATCTGGATAAATAGAGCAAGAAAGTAAAAAGCTGGAGGTGAAAAAGAAGACTGATGAGGGAGGAGGAAAGAGAGAAAGGGAAGAAAGAAGGAAAAACTTTTTACTTCTTGTAATGATAGAGACTGTTTGTTATGACCTAGAGAACAAAATGTCTTTGACCTGATGAAACACTTTAAACTAAGGTTAAGCTCTGGGTGGAAATTAGGAAATCATCTTTATGGTCCACATTGAATCTCTTTATGCTATCACCTCCTGTCTTTTTTTATTAAAGTTTTGTATGCCACCGCTGCTCACTCTGAGAAGGCTGACATCTTTTAATTGTTGTGATGAATCATCTCACAGTAGCTAGTGAGTTTTATGGCCAACACAACAGAAGTCTCCCATATTATTCCCATTACCCTGTGTGTAGGGGTTGTTTGAGGAGGGGATATTCTTTGTACCACTCCTGCCCTTTTTTGATTACCTCTGATTTCATGAAGTGGAAAGAGATACAACCAAGAGCTAACACTGCGTGGGACTGGAGAATAAGAGCTAGGGTCTTTAAGTAAAATTATAAACCCTCTTATATCCCATTGTGTACCTATTTATGTGATTGCCTTCTATTGCCCTACATTAACTTCTTGCAGTTCTCCACTGTTAGCATGGAGAATGTTGGGTTACAGCTGGGAAGGTAGCCACACTTTCATCTGGGTAATTGTCACTGTTGACCTTATTGCTTCAACATCCAGAATTTTACTTCTCTCTCTCCTTCTTCTTCCCATTTCCTTCACTGGACACAGTCTTCATCATGCACATATTTCATAGTCACTTTTGAAAATAAAATGTGGTAAAGGACTTAGTAGTTTTCTACAGTGTCTCTCCCTAGGAGACATCTGGAAATGTCTGGGGTCAAATTTGGCTATCTTAGTGCCTGGGAGTTGCTATTAGAATTTCGTAGACAGGTTCAAGGATGCCAATCACTTTGCAATATATGGAATGTGGACTCTAATTATGGCGATTTTTCCATCTTAAATATCATTAACACTGTTTTTGAGAAAATCTAGGTCTAACTAAGGTTTAAGTGGGTAGCAAGAAACCTCAGCCAATAGACAATTTTAACAGTGCCTTGATGGATAGATGCTAAAATCTCCTTTAGAATCTAGTATTGTGTGACACCTTCCTGTCATACAGTAGGCCCCTATTAAAAATATGTTGTGTTTTGAGTCAAGTGGTTCATTTACAAACTAGTCAACACCATTCAAAATGTCCTATGCAAGTTACTTTCAGAAATAGAAAAAAATTAAGGTACACAAGATACACTTGCCAACATCAAGATTCTAACAATTTCATAAGGGTAATGATTATGCCCAGAAACAAAATGAGTATATTGGGAAATTTTCCAAATGCTATGAAAAAGGAAAGGTAAGAGTTTGCTTTTGAGCAGAGTTGGAAAGTCTTTTTGGAAACCATTGAAGAACATGTAGGGTTTTAAGAGGGGGTTATTTAGGGGGATGCTTGTTGAAGTCAAAGGTATATTATATGTAAGAACTTGAAAAAAGATAGAAAAAATATAGAAATATTGTTACTATAAAGAACAGTACGTAAGAAAATGTGGTGGAAGCTGAGGCTAAAAAATTCTTGAGCTTCTTGTAAAGGAGTCTATCCACTGAAGGTGTGAGATTATGTATGGGTTTAGTCATTGGAAATAGTGTATAGCATCCTGCCTAATGGTCTACACTTTGCCGTGATGTCTTTCTTTATGGAGTCCATGCTCTGTACTTCCTCAATTATCAGCTGCTTAAACTTGCCTTCCTGATTTTCAAGGTCTCCTTACAAAAGTCCTATTCAGTTTATTAATTTAAATAGTAGCAATTTTCTGGAGGTGAATCACATAATGATTCTTCTCAACCTCTTTTATATAAGATATCGCTGAAAAAAAGTATGATTAGATTCAATTACAGTTGTCTCCCACAAAGGTAATACATAGAAAATACCAAACAAGGTGACTCTGTGTGCTTAATAGCCTAGGGATTTAAGTTAAGGATATAACAGAGAGAACTGTTCTACTTAAAGAACGAATAGGTATTTCATGAATTACTTTAAAGAGCCAAAAACAGCGTCCAGTTCTTAAGAACTTGAAACAATTTGTTCTTGGAATATTGTCAGCTAAAATTGTGGTCAACTTTTGCAAATTGTATGAATTTGCACTGCATATTTTATTTAGTGTTTAGCAAAACTCCAATATGGTTCTGCATAACTTACACAATACACTGTGAAAATGACTTCAGGAACTCCCACAGAAGTTGACAATTTGGGCATCTAATGCTTTTAAGCTAATTGTATGCTTAGCAGTTAAAAATTTGACTTGTTAAGAATGATGATCAGAGTTTTGGGAGATAATACTCTGACTACTGCTACAATGAATGCAACCCAACCTTGTATCAGAAATATTTCAGAAGCTTAAAGACAAAAATAATGAGAGCTTTAATCATCATTCTACATATTTAGTCTTAAGTGAAATCTTCATGAGTCACATGCAGTATCATAACAGTTTTTAAACTTATTCTTAAATTTTCAAGCTGTTATTTTCAGGAAATTTAGAAAGCAAATTGTTAAGTGCTAAAGAGTAATTTCATATCATTACTTATGTCATTTTTTTCGCCCTTCAGACTGGAAAAAAGGAACGGAGTAATACCCTGAATATTGCCATAGACAACATGTGCAAGAAGACAAGAGACCTTCGCAGACAGGTAAGGAAAGATGGAGGCGTGGAGATGGAAACACCATGCAAAATGAACCTTTTCCCCCCATTGCTGGAATATTTATTTCTTGTTTTTGTTTTTTTAAATTAATGTAAAACACAAAACAAGAACAATAAATATATCCTTTCCACATGTATAGACCTCAACCACTTTTGTGACAAACATAATCTAGAAGAAAGTCTGGGACTTATTATCAGGCAGTTATATTTAAATGCTGACTCTGCTCTCATCAGCTGTGTGTCTTGGGGACAGATTTTATCTTTCTGAGTCTCTCTGAATGTATGAAATGGGATTAATAATACATAATAGGGTTGTGAGGATTAAATGAAATGCCTATCAGGGCCTGGTACATAGTGTTTAGGGACTACTGGTGAATTGATTCTATTACATTAAAAATTGAGTTTATCATCCAAATGCTTACAGTAGACAACTAGTGATTCTGATACCGTATCAATTACTCCTTCCAGTTCTTTTCAGGATGCTTCAAAGGTTAGTTTCTGTTTCAGTTAAGGCTACTTTTTAAACTTAGATCAACAGGAGTATATGATTAGAAAAGATTTCATTAAGTAATTTAAAAGTACAATATTAGGCCACGAGTTAATTTTTCCCCCAGAAATATGAAGACTCTGCTGTTTTCAGAGACATTTGCTTTCCATTGCTTCCCACTGTCAAAAACCAGAGTCCTTTTTCAGGCACAACTTTACCTTGGTATAAAAGAGGGGCAAAAACTTTTCAACCATAAGCTTTTGACGCATTAACTTATTGTAGTTTAATGGAAAGATTTAGTAAAATGACCTGAGCAATCTTTTAATCCAGAAATAGATTTGGAAAAGAAGTAAATGAGGATCCCCAGACAATTAATATTAACTGTGTAAAACGCAATTTTGAAGACTGGGAAAAATCCAAAAATACCAACTTTATAGCCTTAATGTGAATTTTATTTGTACTGTTGGCACTTAGAATTATGGAATGCAGGGATTGAAAGGACCTTAGCACAGCCTGTCTTTCGATGCAGATGAGGAAGGAAGCCAGTGTGGTGAGGCTATCTGTTTAAGGAGGAAGGGGTAACACACCCATACCAGGTCAGAGCCTGCACTGGACTCAGGGACCCTTCACTGCAGAGCTATCCTCCCTGCTGCTTCCTTGGTTTCTGTTTTCGATCTTCTTCAGGATTTCTACCCCATCTGCTCCTCCCAACATTTGGAAAAATTGTTCCTCTGAGCTATCTGTAATTTTGTCTTTCATTCCTGTCTCATCACTCAGTGTTTTCAATGAAGTCATGCATAATGAGCTAATATGCATTTATTATCTCCAGAGCTTTGGAATAATTTTTCTAAAAAATAAAAGTTGAGGTTAACCAATCCCTTGTGTGTAGAATTACCCAATAAAATAAATAAAAGCAAGGACACCTAGACAAATTTATATTTCAGATTAACAACATTTATGTTTTAGTATAAGAATGTCCCAAGTATTGTGTGGGACATAAATATGTTAAAAAATAGTTGTGTTTTCATGAAATTCAATCTAACCTGGCATCTTACATTTAATTTTATAGACCTACATGTGTTTCTACCTTACTATCGTCAATGAGATACAGAAAGAGCATGGGGGATTACTAATACTTCTTCCCACAGTAAGGGAATGTCTCCACCTTGTATTGCTATGTTCCAGAGATGTGAAAATTCCCTCATTGTCAGGTTAAATATTGTTGCTGAACAAACTACCACCAAAGATAACAACCATTTTATTATGTTTATTATGATTCCATGTATTGACTGAGGGTCAGCACAAATCTGTAGTGTTTTCTCACTTGTGGTCTCCCGGGTAGTGGCAGTCAAATGTTGGCTATGTCTGGGCTCGGAGCTGGGTGTGCAGGGCCTCAGTGCCTCTTCTTTCCTCTCTCAGTATAATGTCTAATTTCCTAGGCCTCCTTCATGTGGCTTCTCTCTCCAGCTGGATAGCCTGGATTTCTTACATGATGTTTCCAGGCTCTAGAAAGAAGAGATGGACACTGCCCAGCCTTCTTAATGCCTGAGCTCCAAAATCACTAGAATGTTGTTTCATCCACATTACATAGATTAAAATAGTCACAAACCCTGCAGGAGCAAGGTTAACAGGAGCAAGTAGAATATCTCTCATGGGAAAAGTGCCCTGAGTACATAGAAAGGGGTGGGATTGTTAGGAGCTTTCTTTGGACACATCCATGGTCTTCAATGTCAGTGAAGTAGTTCCTATGTTTACTATGTCCTTACTATGTTCCTAAGTCCTTACTAGGACTTACTGTGTCATAGTAAGGATACTATGTTTCTTAGTATCCTTATTTGTCTTCCCAGGGCTTCATTTTCTATCCTGATATTTATGCTTCAGGCAATAATAAAAAGTAGTTTAAACAGCAACATGAGTCATCTCCACCTCTTCTTATTCTTGCAAAGTTTATCAAGCAGTTTGGTTTAAGCATCTTAGCTCTTTCACACAGGAAGGAGACAGCCACTACTCTTAAAATGTTTTTCTTGGCAATATTTAATGTTCAACTCTTGTTATAGATCTGTTTGTTTTTAGCACAAAGTAAACAGAACTCATCATTCTGCCCATTCGTCCTAATCCCCTTGCTTACCCAAGGCTTGTCAATCAGCAATACAGAAATATTTTAGCTTTGGTTCAGAGAATCACTGGATTTCATCTGTGAGGAATGAGATAAATCGCTTAGACGTATCTGGGGAGAACAAATTGTACATTTTGGGGCAACAAGATTAAATTTCCTAGGAGGTGACTTAGTATTTATTTGTTTTAAACTCCTTGCTCCGTGACTTGAATGCCTGTTGTACTTGAGAACGACAAAAGTCCTTGGCATCGTGTTCCAGATTCTCTGTAATTTGGCTCCAGATTAATTCCTTTATTTCTTATAAAAATATTTATTTACTTATATTGCTTTTGCTATTACAGTTTTTTCTGCTTTTTCTCCCTTTCCCCACCTCCACCGAGCCCTACTCTCTCCCCTCCCTAAGTCAATCCCCAACTTGTTGTCCTTGTCTATGCGTTGTGCATAACTGTTCTTTGGTGAACCCCTTCACCATCTTCTTAAAGTTCCTTCTCCTGCTCTCATTCTCAGCTCTTCCTCCTCACCGCATCAGCACATTAAATCTGTTCTCTGACTAAAACGTCTACTTAGTATTCACCAAATTTTCCATCACTTTTCTCCCCTCCCCCCAAGTGCACATGGGTCTTTGTACATATGGCTTAACTTGGAGCCTTCCTGGCTCCCTTTATTCCCCCTACCAGACCCCCAATTGACTGAGGAAGTTCAAGACTAATGGAAATGCTACTTCTCCCATGACACCTTTGCAATTGTCACCAGCTGTAATTGTTTTCTTCCAAGAGCACTAGTAGCATGTGTGTACTATAGCGGTGATTATATTCAGCCAGTATTTTTCTTCCCACTGAATTTTATATCCTTAAAATGACACTTATGACAACATTTTTCATTTAATAAGTGCTTTTTGAAGGTTTCTACAATTTTAGTCCCTACAGCATTGATTTTAATCCCTGAAGTGAGAAATAATGCCATAGTACTATTATCTCTCTCTCAGGTGAGTTAATTTACTGATCATCACCCAGCTAACTGGTAGAGCCAACGTCTGAGTCCATGTCCATTCAACCTCAGTTCAGATTTGTAACCACTGTCTCATGGACCAGTTCACCTTCAGAACTTCCAGTTCCTAATACCCTGATTTTACTATCATAAATTATTTTCTTTCTTATTATTTATTTTACATATTTTTCTTTAAATATAAATGTTCTTCCTTTAGACCCCTTTCCCATTATTTATTTGAGAAATGCATACCTATGAAATTCTTAATAAGGGAGGAAGATTTTTAAACCTTCTTTATTAAAAACCTAAAACAATTAATATATTCCATTTCTATTGTATTAGAGTAAAATATACATTTGGTTTCATTAAAGGCAAGTTAAAATTTTTATGTGTGTATACTGAGAAAAAAATTTAAGAAATGCTGAAAGACTTGAGATATGCCAAATAAAATAAGATTCTGGTAAAAAGAAACAAACAAAATGAAAACTTGAATAATCCTTTTGTTGCCAAGTTGCTGCATGGGTATATCCTTCTCTTCTCCCTGTTGGTAGTACCAGTGACATACTCAGAAAAAATATGTAGGTTTCTATACCTCCTCCTCTTCATTCTCATCATCAAATTATATTAAGTATCCATAAGATGCAATTCCCATTAAATTTACACATATGCTGAATTAACTATTAGATAATTTGGTTCTTATTAGTAAATTGAGTTCTGAAAGTTATATTTTGTTATTTGACTTAAAATTACATATAGCAAGGACTCATGGACAAAACCAAAGGGGAAGAGCTGAGGGAGGGAAGGAGAGAGGGGGCAAGGGAAAGTGGTGGGGGTAGGCAGAGACAAATGTATTTGAAAAAATAAATTAAAATAAAATTTAAAAAAAAGAAATGAATGAAAAAGTATGGAATGGTAGGACTTATCTTACCAAATATTAAAATTTACCATATATTAATTAAAATAAAATTAGTACCATAAACTAAAAAAATAAAATAAAATAAAATTAAATTAAATTAAAATTAATGTAGACAAATGCATTTACCTAGTTCCCTAAGAATGATTCTTTTCTAAAACACTTTCTCATCTTTCCTCACAATTTTATTCTTTCTGTTCCTTTATTTGGTGGTGGCAGGGGCAGGGCTTTCTTACAGTTTTCACATACGGTTTTCACTTTGGGGTTTCAATTGTAGAGACATATATTATTTTTTATTTGAGATCCCAAACCACTTACATCAGTGGGAGATAGAAAATTGATGTCTCAAAACCTTTTATTAAATTGTAGTGAGAAAAGATGGAAAGCTCCTCAGTTCGGTTTTGTGCCTGACATCTTTCATACAGGTATTTATTAAAAATACATGCCTCTAACTCCTTTGGCCTCCCACTAACTTCAAATTTTGCAGCATCTAAGGTTGTCCTATTTCTACATTGTCATGTTGGATTATTCTTTAGTTTTTTGTCTATCACCTAAGTGAAAGGAATGAGTTATTCCACTGGACAGGAAATATATTTATATAGATATAAGTGACTGCACAATTTAAGTGAAAAAAAAATCTCATATGAATATGCCAGAACATACAAAGAAAATTACTTAACACGGCATTCAAGGCCTTTAATGTCTTGTTCCTATATGCATTTCTAGTTCTATCTCATAATAATTTTGCCCACAGTCAGCATGATACAGGGGAAGGCAGAATCAAACCTGGTGGTACGCAAAGCAGAAATGACAAAGTGTGATTGTCAATGGGTAGTTTGTGTAAAACATTGTAGTCTTTTACTTGACTACACAATATTAACACCAGACAAATATGTCTATTTTATATTGGAGTCCCCGGAAAGCGGATCCTGAGACTGGGGCCTGCTACAGGTATTTTATAGTGGAAATGATGCCAAAAAGCAAGTGTAAGAAAACGTAAAATGTGAAAGAACGGGAAGGGAAGAAGGAAAGGATGTGCTATTGAGGTTGCCCCTAGAGTCAGCAGGAACTTACAGACTTCTGAGAAAGGGATGTACTACCTTCCAGAATTGTCTAACCAATAGATGGAGGCTGGGATTTTTATCCAGTAGCTCTTATCCTCTCATTGTTTGAAGGCTGCTGCCAGTGGTGTTGAGTTTCCAGACCCCCAGGTTCTTTGTGCATGAGAATCTCACAGACTTAGAACGAGCCCTGAGAAAGAATAATGGCGAGAAGCATGGAAGGCACTCAAAGTGGGAAGTCTTCTGAGGACATGAAACAGCTCCCCTCAGCAAGAGCTGAACTCAGAGACTGGTCCAGTGGATGAGATGTAAAGCACCAAAAGGCTCTCATGTAGTTAATAATCATAGCTGTAAATGTGATGGTAATGATCAGCAAGGTAGCCAATATAGTGAGAAAACTGGTTTGGTTGCATTAATTGAGCTATTTATTGTTTGCGTGGGTTAAGTCGCTTTCAGAACGAAAGGTATTTTTCTGCCTGCTCTTAAAGGTATCACTCATGACTAACACAGATCACCAATCTCTGGCCATTTTATCCTGTTATCTTTTAACCTTTCTGTCTTATTTTGTTGTTTTTGCCTGAAATGTTTTCCATTCCCTTCATTTCACCTAATGAGACCTTATTTCAGTCGTCAGTGTACCACCGTGTTCTAGGAACACTGGATACTGGTGGTGCCCTGAGGATCCTTCGGTTTTCTTTGCGTATGATAGTCTGTATTCTTAGACTTCCCACTTCATATTCAGCTTTTACAATGCAATACGTATAGCCCATTCGTACTGAAGCCCTCTTCATCAGGACCCTCAGAGTAAATTTTCTCATTCGTTTCTGCTTCTACTAAGATACCCATCGGACTCTGCGTTTCTCTCTCGCTCGCTAGCAGTCATCCTGTCCTTGTCACCTTGAAAGTCCCTAGGTTGTCTAGAACGGTGCCTTGTCCTTAGCTCAAAACGCATTTGTTAATTTGAATTAATGTCCAATTACAGAAAATAAGATTAATTGTGCTCATTATATTTGGCGTTATATTATGCCAGATAATTTTAGCTCATTTTCCAAAATAATTTGGAAGACATTGGCATAGAACTTATTTGAAAGCTCATTTTCCAGTCCTTTAGTTTTGTTTTACTGAAGATAATGCCACACTTAGTAGAACACCTTTTCTCATTTCATGTGTTATGTAGTTAGCAACATGCCTTAGAAAAAAGCAAAAGAAAAAAAGTTCTTAATTTGGTTTAATTTAAAAAATAATTTAGCCAAAGAATTCTTTTATTTATTCTTTAATTAATAGTAAATCAGCTGTACCTCGGGCCTCACCTTTGCAATATGTTTTAATACTTGTGCGTGGAATAAAGGATTTGAGTTAATGGCAGGGAAAATATAGTTGGAAACCTTGAAGAAATAAAAAAAAAAAAAAAGAACAGAGAGTAAAGACCATTAAAATGAGGGGAAACCCTGACCAGTGTGACCCATTTGGTTGGGCGTCATGACGCAAAGCGAAAGGCTACTGGTTAGATCCCTGTTCAGGGCACATGCCTGCATTACAGGTTCAGTCCACCCACCCTCCACCCCCCGACATCAGGGCTCATGCTGGGGGCAAACAATTGATGTTTATCTTCCACATCGATGTTTCTCTCTCTTTCTTTCTCCCTCCCTTTCCCTTTCTCTAAAAATAAATCAAAAAAAATCTTTTCTAAAAAATGAAGCAAACATGGACGGGAGAAGAATAGACCATAGCAAATGTACCCAGCACTGGAAAAGATTGCTATAATTATTTAAGTATTTACAAAATTGGCACAATTTTCCTCCATCTCTCTAGATTTTTGTATGGTGATAAGTCAAAATGTATTTTTTAATAGCACAAGAAGACAATTTGACTTTCTGCATATAGTTATAGATGGAAACATCCAAGTCTTTTATATGAGAAGCAGTTCCTCTTTAAACCTGTTTCAAAATAGTTAATACCAAGTCTTACTTCTTCATATCCCAAATTACTAGGAAAGGGAGTTCATTCTCACTGTCTCTGCCTCCTCATCTTTCATTTATTTTTCAAACCATAGCAATAGGACTTCTGCTCCAACTTTTCCACTGAACCTGCCCTCACTAAGTTCGGCAGTAACCTGTTAGTGGTCAAATACAGTAGACAAGTCTTGGCTATTTTCATTTAATTTACCTTTAAATTAGATTTTGAAAACTATTATCTTCTTGAAATTTCTTTGTTTTCAGTCTCCTGGTTTCCTTTATTATAATATTTAATGACTCACTTTTCCATTTGATTATAAAGGACTATGAATTTCATCGTGACATTTTTCACAATACCCTGTTCTTCATAGTATTGTGGGAAGTAGTGTTCAGAGTATCTGTTGAATTGAATAAAATCAAATGAAAAAAAATTCAGCAAGTTCATAATGTGGGTATTATAATTGTGTTTGGTAGAATAAGTTCATTCGGAGAACATAGGCACAGAGATTTATTTGAAAGTTTTTCCTTTAGTTATTGGTCATTTGCTCTCTTTGTTTCTTGGCCATATTCTCAGTATCTTTTTAGATTTCCCATTTCCATCTGCATGACTCCCATAAATGGTACTATTTCCTAAGATTTCACTTTTGGTCATCTTCTCACCGTGAGTCTCTATAATCCTGTCCACTTCCTTGGCTTGAATTGCCTCCCAAATGGATACTGGCTTTCTGTTGCATAACTCTTTTTGCTGGTCTCCTTGTAGCCCTCCTTCTATGTGTCCTAATTACTAATGGGAGGAAAAAGAAGATGAAGGGCACTTCATCTTTCAGAGAGATGGTCAATGAAAATGGTTGCCCTTCTGAGAGATTCCTTTTACTTTTCTCTCATGTGTCCAGAATTAACACAATCTGTAGTTCCCAATGCACGTGCTAATTTATGATTTCTTGCCTGACTTCCCCTGTCCATTCTTTATGGGAAGCAAACACAGTGTTCATTCACTCCCTTTGCCTTGTAACCCCTTAGCACTCCACATCCTGGTAAGTGCTCAGTAAATATTAATTAGTTGTCATTAGTGATTTGCCTTTCTGCATGCTAAGTAGAATTTTTCCTTGAGGATTTCCTATAGCTTTTGTGAAATTGTGCATAGCCAGAAAATTTCACAGTTCTGAGCAAGCTCTACCATCTTAGGCAGAGGTATTTTCTTCCAGAAATCTGCAATTATTATGAATTTATTTTTCTAAAATTATTATAGAAAGACTGTGCTCTTTTTTAGGTAGTTACATCATTCAACACCTTGAAAATGTATTATTATTTCTCATGTAATCCAAAACTAGGTTGTATCTATTGGTTTTTAAAAAATACTCCCGAATGTAATTTTCACCAAAGGCAAATTACACATTTTCTGTCTGATAGCTATTCATTTCTTTTTTTACTGTATAAAAGTTATTAAATTAAATGAGGGGGTAATCCAAAAATTCAGGGGCCATTCATAGTCATTGGCATTGTTAATAAAACATTTCATGATATTGTGATCCTTAAGAGTTCAATGTTATGTAAATATAATGCATTAATTTTCTAATGCATTTTCAAATTTCTGGAAATATCTGCTGAGTAGAGTAATTTCCTGACTGTCATTTATAAGCTTACACAAAATCTAATTTACAAGAACTAATTGTAGCAGAACATTACACTTGTTTAATAATTTAAGGTGTGAGGGCAAGAACAATTAATGCAAATGAAGAAAATTGGACATCAAATTCATTTATTATCCTCCTTGCTCTATTAATCTATTATCAACTGGCATAATCAGTGATATAACTTGGTTTAATTACCATGAAGTCTACAATTTAGCTAATCAAAATTTATCAGTTCCTCCAACAAGGCAGAAAACATTTCATAATTTTGTAATTATAAAAATACATGATGTACAATGTTGTTTGTACATGTACATAAACATTACAATAGTGCAACATTTTTCAGGGAAAAATGAAGCATCACTTATAATCTGATTCCTGGGCTAAGTACAATTAAAGAAAAAATTAGTGATTTTTTGGAGCAAGAGAGCTATTGCTCTATGATATTTTCTTTGATATTTTGCTTGTTTTAGTTTTGTATGTGACATACATACACAGTCTTAAATATGATCTAAAGGATTGTGCAAAAATATATAAAATCAATTTTGTAGGTAGTGAGGTTTTAAAATACAAAATAATATGAACTATTTCCTGATTTTTTTCTTAAAAGCATAACTTTTCTGTTTCTTCTCAGCTTCGTAAAGCTATTATAGATCATGTGTCAGACTCCTTTTTGGATACAACAGTCCCGCTTTTGGTTCTCATTGAAGCTGCCAAGAATGGACGGGAAAAGGAAATAAAAGAATATGCTGCGATATTTCGTGAACACACCAACAGACTTGTAGAAGTAAGTGTGCTAAAATTTTAACTACTCTAAAGCCAGGAAAATTAAGCTCTCATTCCCCATTTACAGTTGAATTGTACTTAAATAAAAACTTTTGACAACTTATTACAAATGAAGCAGAGTTGTGACAAAGGAATATGAAAGTATGTATGTCAAACTGTATTAAACCATTCCCCATTGGTTTGGAAAAGCAGCATTTATTTAGAAAGCTATGAAGCTGTAATCAATATTTTTAAAATGCCTATTTTTTCAGAGACACACAATTAAACTGGTTAAATGCAGATACTTTCTTCTATCCTTGCAGATATTTTCTTTCCATGATAACTTTAAAATATCATGTGTTGTATTTCATGCGATTTTTTGTTTTTTCTCCCATATTTTCATGGCTGTATTGCTCTTTGAGCCTTTCAAATAATATGCAACTATGTAATGTGGCTATAGTACAAAAATGTAGGACATATAGGAGTAAAGAGGTTCAGAGTAATTAAGTAGGGTTTAGTGGGTTGGTCCACGGCTTGGTTGGGGCAGGAGGAGGTGATAAAACTATAATTTCCTCCTGCTTGTAAACCAAAAACATGGAAATGCCTCAAGATTTGAAGGACAAGGTAGCATATTGCTCCAGCAGCCATGAAGGGCTGGGTGATTTCCAGGAGACACATAATGGAACCTATTGTATTATGGACATCAAAATGCAGCCACAGTATAAGAAAGTCTGAAGGGAAGAATTTCCAGTAATGTGACAGTCTTCACAAGACTAGGAACCAGTGGCAGGAATGGGGCAATGTGGTTGACCACATCCATATAAGAGAGCTGACATACTCCTGGTACTCATCAGTATGACTGTACAAATTATTATGACTAGTGTCTGTAATCATTGTCAGAGCCCATGCCAAACTGGTTATTAAATGTTTTGACTGTTACAGCTTCCTATACTGACCATGAACACTGGTGAGATATGTGTTTGGGGGCCAAAATTTCTTATAAAACTTGTGTTAGAAGTAGTCACCATCTAGATTAGAATCACAGCTTTCAATACATCATAAACTAAAACAGAGGGCTTTACTAACTAACTGCTTTAATGTGGATCCACTAGGAAGAAAATTTCTAAGGTGGCTAGCACTTATGCTATAAATTCTCTTTCTGAATCTCAGACTTCACATCTAAAAAAATGAAAGGAATGAATAAATAGATGATTGCTAAGATCACATTAGTCCTAAAACTCCCCCACCTCAACTTTGGCATGTCTTTGGAACTTTCCAAGAATTTGGTAAGGCAGAGCAATGGTTACAATTCCCAGAAGCCTTATATGGAAATAAAAGCACAAAATCTAAACCAGGTTAGTTAGAGTCAGAGCTGATTTCCAGGTTTGCAATTTTTAACTAATTTATTCAGTTATTTATTATTTATCTAGTTCTATTTATTTCTTCTTGTATTCATGTCTGTAATATTCATGAACTATGTCCACAGGAAATGTGATAAGAGAATGGAGCAGGGGAAGCGGGTTGTTAAAGGTACCTGAATGTGGCCCCTGAGAATTGTAGAAGTTTTGTCTAAAAATGTATTCCCTAAACTGAAGGCACACCAAATTGTGAAAACAGCTTTTTCGTTAAATATTCTGAAAGAAAAGTTGGTTTCTGCTAGTAAAGTTGCATCCCTATTTCTACCTCTCAGTTTAGTGATACTATGAATCTTAAATCTCATGAGGTACTCAGTAAAGAGAGACTCCTTGATCACAATTTGGGGGAAAATGTTTATTCTCTTGGACATTTTACATTTCTGAAAAATCTAGAGTTAAGGAGACTGCTTTAGTTTGTCAGAATGTCCCCAAATTTGCCTAAGGAACTCTTTTTCATGATACTTATTACTAAGGAACTGCCTTCAGGGAACAATTGAGAATGTTATCTTAGTTTACTACCAAATGATGATTTTTTATTATGCAGACAGAGCTCTAAGGGTCTGTTTTAAATGTTTAAGAATTTTGAAAATTATGTATTTTATGTGATTATTGAAAGAAAATATTTTGGAATTTTGAGCTCCTGGGGGACTGAGAATGAATCATACTCTGCATGTTCCCTTAACACATTATAAGATTATGCTAGATTTAGGGTCTCCTAGTTCTCACTTTGGTATACCAAGAAGCTAATCCATGTAACTTTCAGTCAAAGTTAGATTTTATTTACTACATAACAGATCATTCCAAACTTAGTGGCTTAAAACAACCATTTATTATTCTTGCACTGATGTGTGGGTTGTCTGGACAGAGCTGAGCGATTCTCCCTTAAGGTCTCTCATGTGATTGCTGTCAAATATTGGCTGGTAATGTAGCTCTTCGAAGGTTTGACTAGACATGCAAGATGGCATATTCCCCTGACTGAAAGTTCCCGTCAGCTGTCTGCTGGGAGCTTAGCTGTGGTTGTCAACTGGAGCCCCAATCCGTGGCCTCTCCATGTGGCCTCTCGCAGCATAGTTTTGGGTTATAATATGAGAAGTCTTAAGAGCAAAGCAGAGACAGAAAGTAAAGAACATCTTAGGGCCTGGGCCCAGAAATTGGCAGGGTATGATTTCCCCTGTATTTTATGGGTCAAAACAATCATAGAGCCTGCCCAGACACAAGGAATAGGTGGCAGGTGAGGAACATGAGCCTCCACTTCTCAATGGAAAGGATAGAGAATGATTTGTTGTCACCTACAATCTACTATACTTCGCTGGACTTAATTTGCTTTATCTATAAAGTGGAGGTTAAAAAAAAAGATAGTTTAAGGCCACTACCAGTTTCTAAACTTCTATGATCCAACAAATACTTTTTACAATTGAGAGACTTCTATTTTTCTGAGAGATATAGACATAGGAGAAAATGAAAATATTTTTAAGTATATCACTTGCACACTTGGTTCTTTATCAAGAAGGAAAGAAAAAGAGCATTATATTGATCTCCCAGGAAAATTCATTTTTGAAGGGAGCTTTCTAACCAAAGCAACAGAGAAAATCATCATTAATTTATTACAAACATTGAGACAGAATTGTCTGTGACAGTTGGGGAAATAGGAGAGTTTATATATGAGGATATATCAGTTTCAGAAGGCATTCTGAGTTAACTTTGTATAGATTGCTTATCTATCCTCTACCTCCCTGCTTCCTACCACCTCCCTACACAAACATACACATACACCCATCATACTCCCAAGCTGGGCAATTTGACATAGCAAGGCAGAAAGTCTTAGATTCTAAATGGCTTCTAGAAAAGCTATTTTCAACATGTCTGGGTTTTGATACCTCTACTATGTTTGTCAGAGAAATCTAAAATCAGTGAACTTGTTGAAGTAAGACTTAAATAGGAAAAAAAAAGTTCGCTGTTAAAGAATTCCCATCATATCATTGAAGAAAAACTCCATACCATTAAAGGAACACTTTAGGTAATGGTTAATGTATAACTGTAAAAAAAAATAGCAAAAAGTGGAACTGAACACAAAGCACAAAAATACCAACCATTAAGAAATTATATGGATAATAATTTGAAAACCAAAAGGACTTGAGGTAATGGAGAAAAGAAATGGGAATAAGGAGCAAATTGGTCAAAAATTAGGCTTGAACATTCCTATTCTCTACTGGAGTCATGTCTGAAGACTCCTGTTATATTACCATGTAGTTTGGTATAAAATTTTAAAATGATCATGGGTGAAATGGTGCTTATAAAAACCTGGGTAGTGTCAATAATTGGAGAACCTAGATCCTTGTGACTAGTTTTATTTTGTTATACTGAACTAAGCAATTGTTATGCAAAACTGTTCCTACTCTTAATATCCAATTTATTATGTACTTTTGGATCCACCAAGCCACAGTGGGAAAGAGAAATAAGAATCAAGAGGCTGGCAATTTGAAAGTCATTTTCACTTAGTGATTAGTAATTAATGACAAATGTGCTCATTGATTATGCTTCCCAGTACTTTGATCTTGGACAGGTAGTAACTTAAGGAACCATTAACTCTGTTGGCTCTTACCAATAATATCTATTAAACGGAAAGTTTAAAATATTAATTTTATCTTAAAAATAAAAATATTCAGTAATTCTAGAGAGTAAGAACTTTATCTTTTATTATTTTGAGCCCCCTCTAATAAAAGTCTTTACAGCTAGTGACAAGTAAATCTATATTGAATGGAGGAAGGCATTTCTAATACCAATTCAGTTCTTTTCTCTCTAAAAAGTCTACTTTTGGGTCTAAAAATTTGACTTTGGGGATTTCAGTAACTGGACTTGAGATATATACCTGAGCCCAATTATTTCAGTAGAAAACCTCTCTACTCTACTGTACATGGATACTTAAAATAATTCTTCACAGTGATTTAACAAATGCCTTTGCCATTAATTATCAAAAGCAGACACTATAAACCCTGCTCCAGATTTTGCTCAGGAGTTTGTGATAATTTGATAACATCTTTAAAGAACTTTGCCCCCCTTTGGAGATACAATTTGTAATTTTTATGTGATGATACAACTACTATTCAACAGAGTAATTGTCATTGTATTCAACAAATGTATATTTTTAATAATGGCTATTATTTAATATTTCTCTAAAATTAATTTTAAAACTCTACAATTATTTTTTAATCATGTTCTCATTTGTTCTCAGAAAATCAGTTCATGGTAAAACAGTAACACTTCCATTCCTCCCATGGGTTTTAGCATATTAATTATTATTAAATATGGCAGTGTTAATGATCTAGGCCTGGAAATGTTCTAAGAACTAAAGTAGTTTCTCTTTGTGAAAAGCCAGCTTTGTCAGTGCTTTGACTTACTCATCAAAAATGTATCTGTCTTGATGCACCTTATTTTAGTAAGTTTCATAGGAGCCTTTCATCAAAAAGGAAAAAAGCGGGTGGATATTTAATTATAATACTTCCTTCCAACCTACCAAACTGATTATTCCCACTCACAAAATGGTGAGCCAGATTTAGCAAATTCCCTGTGCCAAAGAGGGGGCTGCAGAGGGACACCTGCTATTTTA